CCTATGGCCGCGTGCCCACAGAGAGGGCCCGGCGTGCCACCTGTGGCACGCATGCCATAGGTTCGCCATCACTGCTCTAGCTTCTCTATTGAGTTACCTTGCCATTAGGTGCAATAGATAAGAAGAAGAGACAGCGCTGGTTAACCAAAAGGGAATCCCTCCAAACCCTTTAAAACAAGACAAATAAAAACAAAGCTAAAAAAAAGGTCTGCGCCACAATAAATAGTGAATAGACAAGGGTAAAGCGCATACAGCGGTATAATCCCTGCTTATGAGATATGTAGTGAGTATCTCTCCATCACTGGTGTCCAATACTCAGAAAACAGAAGACAAAAGAGACAACCAATAGTGCTCTCTGTTTAACTGTCTCAATGGAAATTAATTAAAATGATACTTACAAGTAGAGAGCAGACCGACTGCTCTTTGGTGTCAGCATTGGTGGAATGATCCCCACCTAGGATTTCTTGGGGTGCAGGAAACTTCCAGGGGTTATAAAACCAGAATAGTAAAAAATAGAATAAAAAACAAGATAATAAAAGGCCAGGATAAAGTAAAAAATGTGTATATAAAAAATGATAATTGGCACAAACAAATGACCAAAAAACGTTTTTAATTCAAAAATACACAATATAAAATTTCCATAACGCGTTTCGTCAACAGACTTTATCAAATGGAATAAAATACAATACCTGGCAAATTGGTGTTATATAGGAACACAATTAATTAAAAGATTGGCGCCAAAATAATCCAGCCAATCAGATTAAGGTAAAATTTGGCATGCATAAATATACATAAATAACTTAGCTAAGATTAATAAATAGTATAATGAAAAATTTCTAATAGTTTTTAATTTAAAACGAGGATGGGAAAGTGTTATATAAAACAATAGTATTATAACACGTGACTCGCGGCACTTCCGCGTTTCGGAAGCTTAGCTGCATAGCCGCATGGGTAATGTAGTTTCCCATAGCGGCGGTGTTTGCGGCTGTGAGGGCGGGGGGAAATGTGTTGGGCGGAAACAGGAGCGAGGATGTGGCCATCTTGGGGAGGGCAGGGATAGTGGGTTGAGGCCATATTATGAAGGGCAGGATTAACCATATCAAATTATCAAAATACATACAAAGAACCATATTTAATTATGGCGAAAAGCAGGAAAAAACCCTGCTGAGTAAAAAAGTATCACTAAACAAAAAATCAACTACATATTATATTTATGAATAGTAGTGGTATAGTTTTAGGGAAAGTGATTTTTAATTCACTTAATAAAATAAGGAATGAATAAATATGCATAATTAGATATTGCCACTTAATTAAATATTAACAATATAAAATAAAAGGCCATAAATAATAAAAATACATATTAAACAATAAAAGTAAAAGCAAAAAATGTACAAGCTCTTAATTTAAAAAGTTATGCAGATCAAAGTCTGCATTAAGACCATGGGGTATAAGAGTCTGAAGATTATACACCCATTCCATTTCAGTTTTTCCAAGTATCTTTTTTATATCACCTCCTCGCCAAGGGGTAGAGCATTTTTTTATACCAGTACATTTGAGTAAGTGTGGATCTTTATCGTGTATAATAAAATGTTTGGATACTGTATGGTTTAAGTATCCATTTTTAATATTTCTGCAGTGTTCGCTAAGTCTTATCTTGAGGCACCTTGTGGTCATCCCCACGTATTGGAGGCCACATGGGCATTCAAGCAGATAGATAACATTTTTTGTATTGCAGCAAATAAAATCATAAATGTTATATACTTTTTTAGTCATATTAGACATAAATTGGGTTACTTTCGATGGAACAGAGGAATCTGTGGTTCTACACACTATACAGTGTTTGCATTTACGGAAACCTTTCGTCTGGGGGGAAAAAATAAATATTCTTAATAGGAGATTTCCTAGTAAAATTGGTAGTTAAGATAGATTTAAAATTAGGTGCTCCTCTAAAAACAATATTTGGATGTGTGGGTATAATTGAATTGAGTACCTCATCATGTTTCAGTATATGCCAATGCTTTCTTATTATCTTTTTAACATTACTACTTTTATTGTTGAAATAAAAAATAACAAGGAGGGACATGGGTTCATTGTTTTCTTTCTTTTTGTAAATTAAAAGATCTTTGTGTTCTTTTTGTTGGACTGTATTAACTGTGTTGTTTAAATCTAATTCTGAATAATTTTTTTCAATAAATTTATTTTTTAAAACCTCTTGTTCATTAAACTCTCCCATTTGTGAGCAATTCCTACGAAGGCGTAGGAATTGGCTCTATGGGGCGCTTTCAAGCCATGGCTTGTAATGACAACTAGATTTGTCTATGACCGTATTTACACAAACTTTTTAAAAAAAGGTTTTTGTTTGTAATTGTCCTTCTTTAATAAAAATGTTGAGGTCTAAAAAGTAATGGATTCCCTGCTGTATTCATGTGTAAGATTAATACCCCTATTATTAATATTTAAATTATTGATAAAAGCAATAAAACTTTCTTCTGTCCCTTCCCAAATAAAAAAGAGGTAATCTAAATATCTAAAATATGAGACTAGGTTTGCCCGCCATGCATGGTTGCAGAAATATTAAAAATGGATACTTAAACCATACAGTATCCAAACATTTTATTATACACAATAAAGATTCACACTTACTCAAATGTACTGGTATATAAAATGCTCTACCCCTTGGCGAGGAGGAGATATAAAAAGAAACTTGGAAAAGCTGAAATGGAATGGGTGTATAATCTTCAGACTCTTATACCCCATGGTCTTAATGCAGACTTTGATCTGCATAACTTTTTATAATAATAAGAGATTATGCTTGTACTTTTTTTGCTTTTACTTTTATTGTTTAATATGTATTTTTATTATTTATGGCTTTTTATATTATTAATATCTAATTAAGTGGCAATATCTAATTATGCATATTTATTCATTCCTTATTTTATTAAGTGAATTAAAAAATCACTTTCCCTAAAACTATACCACTGCTATTTATAAATATAATATGTAGTTGATTTTTTGTTTAGTGATACTTTTTTACTCAGCAGGGTTTTTTCCTGCTTTTCGCCATAATTAAATATGGTTCTTTGTATGTATTTTGATAATTTGATATGGTTAATCCTGCCCTTCATAATATGGCCTCAACCCACTATCCCTGCCCTCCCCAAGATGGCCACATACTCGCTCCTGTTTCGGCCCAACACATTTCCCCCTGCCCTCACAGCCGCAAACACCGCCGCTATGGGAAACTACATTACCCATGCGGCTATGCAGCTAAGCTTCCGAAACGCAGAAGTGCCGCGAGTCACGTGTTATAATACTTTTATTTTATATAACAGTTTCCCATCCTCGTTTTAAATTAAAAACTATTAGAAATTTTTCATTATATTATTTATTAATCTTAGCTAAATTATTTATGTATATTTATGCATGCCAAATTTTACCTTAATCTGACTGGCCGGATTATTTTGGCGCCAATCTTTTAATTAATTGTGTTCCTATATAACACCAACTTGCCAGGTATTGTATTCCCTTTGATAAAGTCTGTTGACGAAACGCGTTATGGAAATTTTATATTGTGTATTTTTGAATTAAAAAAGTTTTTTAGTCATTTGTATGTGCCAATTATCATTTTTATATACACATTTTTTACTTTATCCTGGTCTTTTATTATCTTGTTTTTTATCCTATTTTTTACTATTCTGGTTTTATAACCCCTGAACGTTTCCTGCACCCCAAGAAATCCTAGGTGGGGATCATTCCACCAATGCTCACACAAAAGAGCAGTCGGTCTGCTCTCTACTTGTAAGTACCATTTTAATTAATTTCCATTGAGACCGTTAAACAGAGAGCACTATTGGTTGTCTCTTTTATCTTCTCTTTTCTGAGTATTGGACACCAGTGATGGAGAGGTACTCACTACATATCCCATAAGCGGGGATTATACCGCTGTACGCGCTTTACCCTAGAGCTGGATATAAGCTCTTATAAATGTGAGTTCTCTACCATTATCTTATCTGCTTTTGTATTTGAGCTATACATATTGCACTATTGGTTGTTCCTCTCTTTTATCTTCCATAAAAGTGGAACCATAACAACATCTGAAGACCTTGTCCCTGCACTTTAAGATGACAGTGAGAATCTCTTATATTTGCTTCCATTATTGGAATTGGACATTGTCTATTTATTCACTATTTATTGTGGCGCAGCCCTTTTTTTTTTTTATCTTTGTTTTTATTTACCTTGCCCTTAGGGCCTGTGTTATCTGGGATGAAGGTACACCAGGTCATGGTGTCAGGGAGTATTTTACATACTCCCCCTTTCTCTGCCAGAATCATATCTAAGGCCATCCTATTCTGGAAGGTCATCTGGGAAGTAGCTTGAAACTGCTCAGCCAGCCCTTGAAGGGCATCTCTAGTGTAATTAACAAATCACTGTTGATTATAATAGATATAATTAATCTGATTCAAATTCTTATTAGCAGTGATGATTGGGAGAATAGATTCAAAACCTGCTGCAACTTTGTCTCTTGCCTTGAATTCTTTCGGTACCCCTATGGCATCTATATATACATAGGGGTCAAAACTGCCCTTAACAGGGGTGCTCCTTTTGATTCTGAAATATGAATGTGGCGTGTCAGGAGTACCTTGGTGATTGTCAGATATTATGTGTATGGGCATAATAACCTTAGCTAGGGTACATTACCCCAACCATACATCTTCCATCTTGACCTATGTTGCATATCCCCACACAGCCAATATATGTCTCCTAAGGACCTAATGTGTTTTTGTAACAAGGCAAGTGGGACTGTTCTATATGTAGCACTATATCCATGAGTGAAATTACCCAGAAATCTGCCTATCCCATTGTAAATACTGTAGCAGGTGTAGTTTCCCAGATATACAGTAATGCCCTCGGCTGGCTTAACACACTTGGTGATCATAGAATATTCCTTCTTCCATGACTCACACGCCGACCAATTAGTTCTATAATAGGCATAGAGGCTTAAGAAACATGTCTCTATGTCGGGGGGTACGTTTAGAGGTACAGTGCCTAGATGGGGTCGGGCTCCTCCACAGACATAGCAGTTAGTTTTGTTAGCATTATATCTCATCCATTCAAGCCATAGGTTAGTGTCTGAAAAACCCATCTCTACGGCCATAGTGTCTTCGAATGTGGGGTTTGCTATGGCTACCATGTCCATGAAAGTCTTAATGTGGGGTTTAAGAGGGTTGACAGTCATATGTCGGGAATCTATCCACTCAGGTGACTGGTACATATCTTGTAGGTAGAAGGTTCCTTGTTTATTATAGGAGCCTCCCCCTCTCCAATACATTCCCATAACATATTCTCCCGCATCCCCAGGACTGGGGTGTTCTATATTTACTGAAGCCAGGTGGGGCGACCCCAATGAAACTCACCCTAAAGTCATTCTACACAGTAAGGATTCCCCATTTCTGTCCACCCTATCTAGGGCACCTTGTGGGTTGTAGCCCCATGCTAGCCCTGCATTCCAACCCGCCGCCCTCCAGGAACTGCAGTCATGTCCCCAATAGTCTTCTGACACATTTATATAGGGGTCTCTTATGATAGGTATGTCTTTGTACACTGTTGAGAGCAATGACTGTGGGAATGAACAGCTGACAATGTCACAATAATCAAATGTAAAGGTGGCCACATGTGTGTTAGATGAGTTGTACCAGAATGTATAAACATGATTATTGTAACAGAGCTCCCTGTACTCCGACCGAGTACCCTCCGTTGATGGATGCTCCTAGCGCTTCCTGAGGACTCCAAGCACTGCAGCAGACAGCGCAACCACCGCAGACTCCGCAACCGCCGTATCTTGACTGGAGTCTCGCCGTCTTCCTTCCACCCTGGATCAGCTTCGGTCCTCCAGGACTGTGTGGGAAAGAACTCTTCCTTCCACCCTGTATGAACCTCCAGCATCCAGGACTGTGTGGTGAAGACCCCTCCTCCAAGGAGAGCGTGTCAGGAACAAGCTCTTAAAAGAGCTAAGTGACTCAAGCTCAGGGGAGCATGCAGAGCATAGCAATCCCCAGTGTGATTATAACAGCTCCCTCCAATAACGAGACAAGGCTACGTTTAGAGGGATCAAGAAGAACTGTCAAAACCTTTGATCCCTTGGGACCAGCCAATACAGTCACTACAATAACATTGTTGTGAAACCTCAATAAAATCACAAACAGTCAAACCATATCAAGCAACACACAGTGACTTATCACAACACAATGGCACATTTTTAAAGGGGTGGGGGGAGACAATATTTAACAGTAAATATCTCACCTGGCTGCAGAATTAGCAATATGCAAATCTACCCGAATATGCAAATGAACCAGTCTTGCAATTCAGGTAGTGCATATTGCTGTTGCTACCAACAGAGGGAACTAGACCAGCTCCATAGCCAAATCCACCTAGTTGGTAGCAAACCTCAGCAGTACAGGAGAGAAGGCAATACATTTCACAGTACACACACACACTATAAACAATTACATTACACACACCCTGCACCTATCATGGGTACAGGGTGACTAAAACATAGGATAAATAAAGCAGCCCACATAAATAGTCTGTCTGAAGGTAGACTAGGGGCTTTAAAGCCAGATAGATGAAAGAGTCATAGTCACAGGGGAGGAGGCTGGCAAGTAGGCCTCTCCAGGACCAAGTGGCGAAGGGCACTTCGTCACAATTATCTTTAGTAATGGCAACTTGTTGTGCCCTTATCAGGCCTAGCAGCAGAAGGATATACAGGAAATTCATGGCTTAGGACAGTCCGCTTCCTCTGGGGCTGGAACCTTCTTGCAGTGGGAGGCGTGTATCCAAGTGCTTTTTCCAGCTAATTTAACATAAGTAGCTGTGACTAAGAGGACTTGGAAGGGACCATCATATCTTGGCTTAAGAGTATTTTTCCTCACAAATTTCTTAACCAGAACCAAATCACCGAGGAGTAGTCGGTGGGTGCCTGTATCAGACTCTAGATCTGGAATGGAAGAAAACACTTGTGCATGGATTTTGGTCAATGCTCGGGAAAGGGCAGTTACATAATCAACCAATATGTCAGACTGGAGCTGAAGTTGCTGGGGGAAATAGCACCCAAGTCTAGGGGCTGAACCAAACAGAATCTCATAAGGGGACAGAGCAAACTTCCCTCTCGGTGTGTACCTTACACTAAACAGAGCTATGGGGAGACTCTCGGGCCAGGGCAGGTTAGTTTCTTTGGCCATCTTAAGCATTCTGGCTTTTAAGGTGCCATTCATGCATTCTACCTTGCCACTACTCTGTGGGTGATAGGGTGTGTGGAATGCTTCCCAGACTTCTCTGGTTACTCATGCAGTGAAGGCCGGGCCTTGGTTGCTCTCTATAACTTCTGGAACCCCGTATCTGTATACTACTTCGGTGAGCAGGCGTTTGGTGGTAGTCTTGGCTGTCATGTTAGTGACTGGGTAGGTTTTGGCCATCCTGAGAACATATCCACTACGACTAGTGCATTTATTTATACCGGCCACTCTTTGGCCTTTGGATGTGGTCAACTTGGATCCTTTGGAAGGGGTAATGGGGTTTGTCCAGATGTTTCGGGGGGGCTTTCACCACCCTGCCTGGGTTGCATCTGGCACAGACAGTGCAGGATCTGCAGTAACTGTCTGTCAGAGAGGTGATCCCAGGTGCTTCGTAGTATTTACTAATCAGGGAATTCATAAGGGTCTTAAACAGGTGTGCAGCCACGTGGGCCCACTGGACCACTGCTGAGTACATGCTTCTGGGTAAACAGAACTTGAGATTGTTGGAGTACAGCCCAGCTTTAAGGGTTGCCCCTTTCTGTTTCCAGCTTTGTCTTTCTTCAGGATCAGCAGCTGCTTGTCGTTCCTTCAGGAGCTTGAGGTCTGTAGGTAAGGTCTGCATAGTGAATATGGGTATGGGATTTTCTTCAGCGGGCACTCTTCTGTCCACTTCCCTTGGCACATACGCAGCCTGTTTGGCAGCTTCATAAGCTATATAGTTGCCCTGTGATTCCTCCGAGTTCAGTCTTCCGTGAGCCTTTACCTTTAATATGGCCACTTCTTCAGGGAGAAGTAGGGTGTCCATCAGCTCCTTGATAGCTGTGTTGTGCTTAACTGGTGTGCCAGTTGCTGTGAGGAATCCCCTTGTCTTCCAGATTAGTCCGAAGTCATGTGCCACGCCTAGTGCATATCTTGAGTCAGTGTAGATATTGGCGCGCTTTCCCTCAGCGATCCTGCATGCTGTGGTGAGAGCTTGTAGCTCAGCTTCTTGGGCTGACATAGATCAGGGAAGTGGGGATGCTTGGAGCACTGTGTCCACTGCAGTGATGGAAAATCCAGTGTGATATCTTCCTTGTTTATCAGCATACCTGGAGCCATCCACAAACAGGGTGAGGTCAGGTTCTAGTAGGGCAATTTCATGCACCGTTGGGTAGCCAGTTGCTCTGCAGTTCACAGTTCGCTTGGTGACACCCTCTTCAGAGAGCTGGGTTTGGTCTGCGGTGCTCAATGATTTAGCCAATGGGCCAAGTTCTTTCCATAAAATCTGTGGGGACTTGGAGAAAGAAATGTGAGGGACAGCCACACCCCAGTGGTGATATAGGTGGCCTACCTCCATAGGCAGGAGGATTGTGGCTAGGCAATTGCCTTTGAGGTCACAGAACAGATCAGTTATGGTAAGGCGTACCTCCACCAGCTGGAACAGTTCTTCTTCGTAATGGGTTCGGGTCCTCGGGTGTTTCTGAACCACAATGTGCAATGGGGAAAGGCTGGGTATCATGAGGGACAGGGGGCGTGCGCACCTCCATGTGAATAATGGAGTCTGGGTCGAGGCTGTACCAGTAGTGGGGAATTCCCCTCCTGGGAAGTGGCAGAAGAGTGGCTGGGTTGAGTTAGTAGCATCTCTGCAAGGATACATTATCTGGCAGCAGAAGGGAGCATTGTAAGAGGAGATAGCGAGCAGCTGAGAGATGCTTGGGCTGGACCTGATTGAGGATGGCGGCAATGTCATGGGGTGCAAGAATGGTGAGTTTATGCCCAAGGATCAAATCACTTGTCTTGTCAATGAGGGCCTAGACTGCTGCGAAGACTGCTCGAAGACAGGAGGGGCCCCCTCTTGCCACAGGGTCTAGTTGGTAAGGTTAGTAGCCAATGGGGCATTGGTAGGAGCCATGGGACTGAGTAAGGACTCCAGAGGCATGACCCAACCTTTCAGATACGAACAGCTTGAAGGGTTTCCTATAATCAGGAAGGCCCAGGGCAGGCGCAGTGGAGAAGCTGGACAAGGCTTCAGGGGATAGAGAAAATGGTTCTGTCTTTAGGGCATCATAGAGTGGATGCATCAGGGTGGAGGCCTCTGGGATCCAGGTCCTGCAGTAAGAGATGAGGCCCAGGAAGGTATGAAGGGGTTTATGGGCGGTGGGTGGGCAGATAGCTAGGATACCCCACACCGGGTCGCGGGTGAGGTGACGGGTGCCATGGGAGAGGCAATGTCCCAAGAAGACCACGGAGGGCCCGCACCATTGCAGCATCTTCTTGGAGGCTTTACATCCTTGTTCAGCAAGGTAGCAAAGTAGATCTTCTGACATACGTTCAGCCGTGGGAATGTCGTCAGCACAGAGGAGGAGGTCATCCACATATTGGAGGAGAACCACATCCATGTGAGTCTTTTGCCATGAGTCCAGAATGGAAGCCATAGCTTTAGCAAACTGACTTGGTGAGTTTTGTGCTCTTTGAGGCATGACAGTCCAGGTGTATTGCTGATGGTCATAAGTGAATGCAAACAGCTATTCACAGGGAGGGTGTAGAGGAACACTGAAGAAGGCATTAGCCAAATCCACCACTGTTAAATACTTTGCTGTAGGTGGAACACCTGACAGGAGAGTATGAGGGTTAGGTACAATAGGGGTGTCCAGAACGGTTGCATCATTGATAGCTCTGAGGTCTTGGACCATCCTGTACTTTTCTGGCTCACTCTTTTCAATCTTTTTCTTCACGGGGAATAGTGTTGCAGGGAGATTCACATTTGAAAAGAGCACCTTTTGATAACAGACTTTCAACTTGTTTGTAGATAACAAGGGCCTGGGCAGGCCTCAGACGATATTGCAGTTTGCGGGGTGGATTGACACCTTGGAGTAATTTAACCACAATGGGGGGGACTTGGAGGCGTCCAATGTCATCTGGGCCGGTGGACCACAACTTGGCAGGATTTCTGTCAAGGGCACTGGGGGGGGATCGTCTAGGACCCTTACATCCCTTTTTGGAGACTCCATATGGAGCAGGAGGGGTATTGAGCAGAGGGTTGAAGTGTCAGTAGTGGACAGGGGGGAAGACAATTGTATCTGGCCGTCTGGGGTAAAAGAGATAAATGCTTGGAGAAGGGAGAGGACATCTGCTCCTAACAGGTTAATTGGGCAGGTACAGAAAACCACAAAAAGGCCAGGAGGTCTGGGTAGGTGCCCACTTGTAAAGGCTTAGTTAGCTACACCTACGCATGAAACAAAAATATTGGAGAGAAAAGAGGAGTCAGGCAGGTCTTGTTCTTTAAAGACGCTTCGGGCTGCACCTGTGTCAACTAAAAAGGGGGTTGTGTGGCCTTCCACAGGCAGGACCACCGTGGCTAGGGGCCCTACCTTATCCCGTGTAGACACTGCCATGACAGGGGTGGGTGACACAGGTTTGCCAGTTACCAAGATGAGCACGGTCTGGGCCAGTGTAGGGGCGGCTGGCTGATGCAGGGGGAGGTGGAGGATATTGAACAGCAGGATGGCTGGCTGGGTGGGGAAGGGGAATAACCGGCAGTAGGGTAACTGGCAGCGGGGTGAGGAGCTACAGGGTAACTGGGGGCTGAGTACTGGGAATAACGCTGCGGGGTGGGGCTCCCTCACATCCCGCATGAACTGTCTAGGGGCCCTAGGAGCTGGACAATCTCTCCTGAAATGACCAGATTGACCACAGTTATAACACCCTCTCTGTGATTGTTGCTGCATAGGAGGCTGACCCATAGGATGGCTTAGGGCCTGGCTCTCAGGGAGGCTTGAAGGTTGTACAGGGCGGGAGAACATGAGAGGGGCTGGCTTTCTAGGTGGGGGTAGTTTGGAGGACTCTAGGCCCTTTGCAACAAGCAGGAGGGTATCCAAGGGAATGAATCTGTACTCAGGGCGGGACAGGATTAGGCCTTTTCGAATGGATTCTTTAAGGCCTGCCACGAAGGTTACAGAGAGCATTTGGGTATGGGCCTTGTTGTATAAACTGAAACCCAGGTCAGAGAAGATTTGGGACAATCTGGAGTGGTACTTCTCCACAGATTCTGTCTTATCTTGGATGACATTGTTAATAAGGGTAGCCTGGTCAGCTAATTTAGCTTGAGCCCACAGCTTAAGTTGTTCACAGAACAAGACCCAGGTACTAGCCTTCTTGGGAACTGCAGGATACTACAGACGTTTTGTCCCTGATTATAGCGCCATAGCCAAGCCCCTAACTGACCTGACGAAAAATAATTTACCTAGGCAGGTCCTGTGGTCTCCAGCTTGTGAAGCCGCGTTTATAGCTCTTAAGCAACCACTTGTAAATGCCCCTGTCTTGGCTGCCCCCGTACCTAACAAACATTTCCTTGTCCACACAGACACTTCCATGTTTGGACTGGGGGCTGTGCTGAGCCAAGTCGGGGAGGATGGAGGAGAACATCCTGTCGCATACCTGAGTTGAAAACTGTTACCCCGGGAAGTGAGCTATGCGGCAGTGGAAAAAGAATGTTTGGCCCTGGTTTAAAGGACCACTATAGTGCCAGGAAAACATACTCATCCTCAGGGACCCCCTCCCGCCCGGCTCTGGAAGGGGGAAAGGGTTAAAAACTTACCTTTTTCCAGCGCTGGGCGGGGAGCTCTCCTCCTTCTCTCCTCCTCCGTTCCTCCTCCTGGGCTGAATGCGCACGCGCGGCAAGAGCTGCGCGCGCATTCAGCCCGTCGCATAGGAAAGCATTTACAATATTAAAAAATGGGTTAACCATAGCTGGACCAGGCACCCAGACCACTTCATTAAGCTGAAGTGGTCTGGGTGCCTAGAGTGGTCCTTTAAGCACTGAAAAAACTGAACCCCTATTTGTACGGACAAGAATTTTCATTAATCACCGACCACAACCCATTGGTCTGGCTTAACCGGGTCTCAGGAGACAATGGCAGGTTGCTGCGGTGGAGCTTAGCCCTGCAACCTTACAACTTCACCATCAGCTACAGACCCGGTAAGCAAAACGGCAATGCTGATGGGTTGTCCCGGCAAACAGACGTCACTCCGGCCTCCTAGTTCCGGACATCCCCAAATTGACCCAAAAAGGATCAAGCTGGGTCTGCCAGAGTGTCCCACAAGAAGGGAGCCATGTGACAGACCTCTCTGTCTTTTAAACTGCTTTATTTCTCCTTGGTTCGTCTGTTTGTTCGGCTAGTTTTTTGTCCGTACAGCCCGTACGTTTATTCTTCATTTTACAGAATGAACTGCTGAACAGCCGGCTACTCAGCATGAAAGTGTGCTGCTGGTTAACCTCTTGGCCTCATTAGAATGTTGTGGTTAACTGCAAACACCTCTTAATTGTCAAATGTAGGCTGGGTGGTCGTCATTCGTATAACGAACATGAGGCGGCGGCCATCTTGGACATACGAATGCCCAGCGGTGTTCGTCGTCGATTTCATGGAACTAAAAACGGATACTAGTTTGCACGAACACCACCGAAGCCGCCGACCTACCTTCTCCTATTTCTCCATCATACGAACGCCGTCGGTCTGTTCGGTACTTTTCTGCATGAATAGACTTATCCCAGATAGCCATGCCATGGAGCCCATTTGTATAACGAAAGACTATGTGAAAGACTTTAGCTCCATGGCGATTGAACTGTATGTATGTGATCTGAGCGCCATTGGTAATAATGTGCGCTCAGATCTAAGCTATCTGGGGATATGTAAATTGTACCTAGTGCATTCGGTAGTTTTCCTATTATGTATTTTTATGTGTTTTCACTGTCATGCATAAAACAGAGTTTTGCCTCTATCCTCGGAGATAATTGAATTCCTTCCCAATTATCTCAGTGAGTGAGTGAATGCTATCTGGGGATATGTAGAATGTATATATTTTATGTGACAACTGTAACATTATGTATTTTATTGTATTTTAGTGTTTTATTGTAACCATGTGGTTAATGGAGTTTTGCCTCTGTCCTTGGAGATAGTTGGATTACTTCCCAATTATCTCCAGGACAGAGAGGAGGGATTGTAAGCTTGTGATTGGTTAATGTCCAATATGTTTCCCAGTTTCCCATCTGGTCCCC